CCGGCTAAATATCCTCAACCTTTTAAACTGTAAAACCATTCTAAGAGGAGGTTGATAGACCATAAAGATAGATTTAGTAACTGACCGACATGGGTGGTCAGTCCCCTATACATTTACTCCATTGTTAACTTTCCACAACAATGTCTAAAAAGAGACATCATATTGTCCTATGAGATAGGACAAGAGCACACCTCAATCTAAGATACTAGTTGTTCACTACCAAGGCAAATTTAACTTACTAAATATGCGATTATGAAATTGAATTAACTCCAAGCTAAGATAAATCATTGAGTTGATCTGTGCGGAATTACCTCCCGACCTATAATAGATTTGTGAAAAGTAAAACAATCGCTCGAAATTTTGATGTCTCGACAACAATTTAGATAACGGTAGGATTAAACTCCAACTTTCTAGAGCCTAGAAAAATTTCGTGGTAACTTCCTAAGATCGAATGAGATAAAAACTTACCAGTAAGAAATTTATTGAGTATTTTTATAGTTATTCCATTTTATACTTCTTTTTAGATCATTTACTGCCAATCCATGTAGGGGAGAATTTGGGAGCTGCGCCGTCATGTCCTAATGCATCGGTCCATTAATTTTGAAAATGATGTGTCATTGGTTTTTCTTCATTTATTTACTATTTGATTTATTTATTATAGGATAAATATTACCAAATAATCAAAATGGATTTTTTAAAAAATAAATGGTTCCATGAAAGTGGACATTGTTGAGAGTTCTGGAATCAAAACAAAATAAATATAAAGCAAGAAAAAAAAATCTATGTACGTTCTTCATATTTTCATCCACGGAGGTACACGAAATAAAAACAAAAGAAACATAAAATTAGGGGAGAAAAAAAAAAATCTATGTACCTTATTCAAATTGAAGAAAAAAAAAAGAAATTTAAAATTAAAATTTTAGTAAGAAAAAAAGTTCTTCATATTTTCATCTATAGAAGCAGACATTATTGAGACTTACGAAATAAAACACCAACCAAAAAAAATAAGAAAAAGAATCTATCTACCTTTTTCACATTTTGATGGAGGGAACTCGACATTGTTTAGAGTGGTTGAATTTAAAACAAAACAACATAAAATTTCATCACCACTAGTTTTTTTAGGATAGCAGAATCCTAGCTAAAAGATAAGACAAAAGCAAATAAAAATAAAAAATACAAATACAAAAACATGAAAGAATTTTGGGTGAATTATAAACATGCAAAATAGGTATTGATCAAGTTAGTTACAAACGAGGAACAAGAGTGAGATAGAAATTAATATAAATGTCAGACATACAAAAATACAAACTAATTGATGCCTCGTTCCTCTATGACAACGCAGCTCCCAAATATCTCATCATTTCGTCAACTTAGTAGGTGTAACGACTCTAAATTTCTACTTACCTAAAGTCACTACCATCATTATAAGGTAATCATTTCTAGGCAAAAATTAGCATTTAAACTTATTCATAAAACATAATCTTGATCTTAAAACACTGTTATGGACTTACGTGTTTGCAAACATCTTTAAAACGTCACAATGAAAAATTAAATATAAATAAATAAACATTTAAATTAAAAACATCTTAATCTAGCCTAAGTCTAAGAACATAAATGCATCTACCCTATGCATGTGTTATGGTCTTGAGTTGTAATATCGTCGTTAACTGTACAGCAGTGTCTTGCCTTTACCAGAAATAGAAGTAGCACGTGGATTGAGTATTTTTAGAAATACTCCATAAGTGATCCCACTATTGGGTTAAATGCAAACACATAAAATTTCATGAATAGTATCAATCATAACAGTCTATTTTCCTACGACGACTATCCTAATAGGCAATTTGAATCTACACAAGGTCCACATGTGCGAGTATGAACCCACCAGTTGGTTTGCACACCTCCTAGACCCCTTTCTGGTAGCTGTTGATAAACATAATGATCGTTCTCCTACTTCGTAGCGTATGCCTGAGCACACAATAATGTATAAGGTCCCAACAATTTTCCATTTTCATTATCATCTAACACAATCCCAATAGCATATTCCTTCATATCATATCATTTTGTTATATGATTTCTCATATCGTTTATCATATCTTTCATGCGTATGCCGGGGTTGTATTTCATGCTAGCTCATCACTTTGCATGTCAATCATATCATATCATTCATGTTATACATGCCATATCATAATGTTTTCATGTTTTCAGACGTAACATCAATCATGCACATATGATATCATATATCATAACAGTCACATAGCATATCCCGAGCGTACATTCAACATATCATGTCTTAACATATCATATCACAAGCATATCAATTCGTCAAACAAATCGTACCATAATATTATCATATCATTCTCATATCATTTCGTAAACACTTCATGATTATATCGTTCCATATGCATCTTAAACTTGTTATATCGTTTCATGAACATATCTTAGTTATATCGTTTCCCAAACGTATCCTAGCCATATCGTTTCATGAACGTATCCTACTCATATTGTTTCATGAACATATCCTAACCATATCGCTGCATGAACATATTCTAACCACATCATTTTATCAACCTATCATAATCATATTGTTTTCTATACATAACCTAACCATATCATTTCATGAACATATCTTAGTCATATCGTTACATTATGTTTATCGAATCCTTTTCGTATTCTATCTCAAAACATATCATCAAACACATCATACCATAAGAGTTATCATACCATAACATATACATATCAAATCATAGTCACATTGTTTCATAAAAAATTCACACATATCAAATATATGACACGTGTAGAACCACGGGGCACGTGTCAACACACAACATCAAATTCTAACCATGCCGTTAGTTAGGCCACTTACTTGGTTGGCCTTAGCTGGCGTTCCCCCTACACTTGAGTACGTTTGGATTCTGCTTCCTCAAAGTTGCTCTTTGTATAGTCAGGAGTTGTTTTCTATTTGAACGTTCATCTTATTTACGTTAATAACTCACAATTGTAGCCTAAATCAACTTGAACTTAGAAATAATACCCTATACTTACCTCAATTTTGTTAATTAAGGTCAAATTCAACTCCGAGAGGGTCAAAACTATAGGAATAACTACCAAAAACATAACTTGAGTCGGATAGCCAAGTTTTAAGCTGAGAAGCTGCATTGAGCCGAGTCGAGATGCGATGAGCCGAATGAGTCGATGCCTGCATTTGCAACACATATCACTATGGGGAGAAGACGTGTGCGTGGGTCATGAATCATGTCAAGGTGCATAGTTCGAGTTGTTCCTTCGAGTATGCGAGTCGCATGTGAGCGTTCGGGCTGTGCTTTCGATACGCGTTAGTTTGAACCGTACTTGTTACTTGGGCCGACGTCAAGTGGGCTTCTACTTAGTGTACTGTTGTTGGGCCGAGGTGATGATGCTAAGGGTTGCGGTTACAAAAGGGCTTCGGGGCTTGAATTTATGGTTACTGGGCTTCGCACTAGTCATGGGCCGAAATACATGGGTTGCACAGATGGTCTGCTAAGTCACATGAGATGATTGGACTGGGGTCTGTGGGTTGAGCCCGACTTGGATCCTAGTCCAGTGAACTTCATCTTCTTCACCCGACTCCTCGCGAATTTCTGAATTCCTTTGTCTCTCTTCCTATAGTCATTTCCCAACGTTATACCTCAGATTTTCGTCTACTGTGACCCCTTGCTTGACCTTTCCTTCGCTTCTATGAGTTAATCTACCTTCGTACTTGTTAAACGTAGAATAGATCATATCTGTACATAGTACTGATTTACTTGTTTGTTACCATGAATCAAGGAGAATTTATGATTTTTTGGTTTGTTACCAAATCTATGATTTTCTTGTTTGCTACCAAATCTATGATTTCATAGTTTGTTATGTAGTCCCATTATACATCTATAAATACATGAGGTCGTGACCATATAGGTCACAGTTCCATTCAACTTAATATGGTATCAAAGCCAAGGTTTATTCATTAACAATGTCTACCATATCTTCTTCCTCCTCCCCATCCACCATCTCCAACACGATCTCAACTACCATGGCGTTGACCTTTGACCCAATCCCTCTTCACCACGCTGTCACAATCCGTCTCACCAAAAACAACTTCATCATATGGTGCACCCACCTCCTCCCCTACCTACGGAGTACGAAGCTTATGCCACCTGGATGGCACCATTGCCACATCTGCCAAGCTGGTCCCTTCCTCAACCGCTGCTGGTGCTGACCTGGTCTCTAATCCGGCCTATAATCAGTGGTATGATCAAAATCAACAGGTTCTTAGCAGCCTTCTCTCCTCCATGTCTGAGGAGATTTTTCACGATGTGGTTGCCACTACTACGTCCAAGGAGGCGTGGGATACCCTGCAGCGGATGTTTTCATCGTCAACTCATGCTCGCACTGTTCAGATCTGTGTCGAGCTTGCCACGTCCAAGAAATGCGATCTGTTTGCTGCAAATTATTTTTGCAAGATCAAAGGACTGGCCACCGAGCAGGCCGCCGCTGGCTCAACCTTGCAGGATGATGATGTGATCTCGTATCTTCTCGCTGGTCTTGGCCCTGACTATGATCCCTTTGTCACCTCGATGACTACCAAGAGTGAAGCCCTCACATTTGATGATGTGTTTGCACATCTAATGGCGTTTGAAGCTCACCAACTACAACATCAAGCTGAACTTCAGTTAAATCCTGGATCTTCTGCCAATTATGCTGGTCGTGGTGGTCAGCAGAAGAACCGTGGGCGTAGGGATCATGGTCGTGGCGGTTCTCAAGGTGGTGCGCCCTCTCGTCCTGCTGGTGATCGTCGTGACCGTTCTGCTCATCCTTCCTGCCAGATCTGTAGCAAAGTGGGGCATACTGTTGTTCGTTGCTGGTATAGGATGGATGAGTCCTATCAAGATGAACCTCCTTCTGCGGCACTGGCGGCTACTTCCTCTTACAAGATTGATCCAAATTGGTACAGCGACACAGGCACCACTCATCATATCACTAGTGACCTGGATAGTCTCGCTGTGCGTGAACGCTGTCATGGAGGTGAACACGTTCAAGTCGGCAATGGAGCAGGTTTGCGAATTTTGCATACTGGCCATTCTTTAATTAATACTGTTGCTCGTCCTCTTGCATTGCGTAATATTTTGCATGTGCCTGAAATTTTCAAACATCTTCTTTTCATTCATAAATTTTATCGTGATAATGACGTATTTTTTCAATGCCATCCTTGGCATTTTTCTATTAAGGATCGACGGTCGAGGAAAAGTCTTCTAGATGGGAGGTGTGAGTCTAGTCTCTATCCTATTAAGCCATCTGATGTCAATAATCTCAAGCATGCTTTAGTGAGTAGATCTACTACTCACGCCCAATGGCATGCACGTCTTGGACATCCTTCATCTCAAGTAGTAAAGTCAATTTTGCGTCTCAATAACATTTCTTGTGCTAGTCAGTCAGCAAAAAGTCATCAGTTACCATATACTAGTTCTTCTCATAGGTCTTCATCATCTTTAGAACTGATTTTTTCGGATGTTTGGGGCCCGCACCTCTATTTGTTGGGGGTTTTAAATATTATATTAGCTTCATTGATGATTTTAATAAACTTTCATGGGTCTATTTGATGCATGATGGTACAGAAGCTCCTCGTATACTTTTGAAGTTCCAAGCTCATGTTGAGCGCCTCCTAGATACTAAAATCAAGTGTGTCTAGTCTGATTGGGGTGAGGAATATCAGCAAATTCATAACACATTCTTTCGTTCCCGTGGAATTGCTCACCGTGTTTCGTTCCTGCAGACGCATCAACAAAGTGGGGTTGCTGAACGCAAGCACCATCATATTGTTGAAACTGGCCTAGTCCTTCTAGCTCATGCTGATGTACCTATTAAATTTTGGGATGACGCGTTTCTTACAAGCCACATATGTCATCAATCGTCATCCTACTCGTGTCATCGATAACAAATGCCCCTTAGAACGTCTTTTTCATACCCTACCAAATTACTTCTTATTAAAAGTTTTTTGGTGTGCTTGTTGGTCTTATCTTCGCCTATAAACAAAAGCTCTATTTTCGATCCAAGGAATGTGTCTTTCTAGGCTATAGACATAAAGGGTATAAGTGTCTTGACACCGATTCTGGTTGTGTCTATATTTCTAGAGACGTTATATTTGATGAGAATGTTTTTCTGTTCAAGAGAGCCCCACCCAATTCTTCCCCAACCTTGCAGCTGACGCACAATCCCCCTGATTTGTGCACCTTGCATTTGGGTAGCAACAGTACTAATTTGGATAATGATCATATGCATATATTTGTGCCTACTAACTCTTTGGATGCATAAAATCTTGTGCCCACATAAGCTTCGAAATTGTCGCTGCCGCGCGAATTGGCGTTGGATGTTTTGCCAATGATTGGGGCCTCGAATCCTCAGCCAGCAGATGATATTGCACATTGCCCAATCGGATCCTCAGCCGTTGGTCAACCGACTGCTGTAGCACCTATTGCCCCCCTCGCAACAGCTGGTACAGCTGTCCTCTCAATTGTGGATCCTGCACCTGCGACTCATCCGTATGGTACTCGATTGAAGCACAATATCAAGAAACCCAAGGTGTGTACAGATGAAACAGTAACATATTCTGTAGTTCGGTCTTCCACCTCTGAACCTCTTCAAATGTTACTGGTATGAAGCATCCCCTCTGGCGTCAGGTAATGGATGATGAATTTCAGGCACTTCTTGAAAAATAAGACATGACACTTAGTTCCTCCTTGTGCTGGTCTTAACGTTATTGATTGCAAATGAGTTTTCAAACTCAAGCAAAAGCCAGATGGCTCTATTGATAACTACAAAGCACACCTGGTTGCTAAAGGGTTTAAACAGCAGTATGGCGTTGATTATGATGATACCTTTAGTCCACTTGTTAAGCTCACTACCATTCGCCTCTTATTATCTCTTGCTATTTCTCGTGGTTGGGCTATTCGGCAGATTGATATTCAAAATGCTTTTCTTCATACCTTTAGTCCAGTTGTTAAGCTCACTACCATTCGCCTCTTATTATCTCTTGCTATTTCTCGTGGTTGGGCTATTCGGCAGATTGTTATTCAAAATGCTTTTCTTCATGGCTTTCTTAATGAAGATGTTTATATGAAGCAGCCCCCTGGATTTGTTGATTCTCAACATCCTGGTTATCTCTACAAGCTGGATAAGTCGCTTTAAGGCCTCAAACAAGCTCCGAGTGCCTAGTTTTCTCGCCTTAGCTCCAAATTATTACAGCTGGATTTTACACCTTCAAAGGCTGATGTCTCTCTTTTCATTTTTAACAAGACCGACATTCAAATGTATATCCTCATCTTTGTTGATGACCTTATTATCATCAGCTCATCGTCTATGGCTACTGAGAAACTTTTTACACAGCTTCGGGATGATTTTGCCGTCAAGGATCTTGGCATTTTGAGTTATTTTCTTGGGATTGAGGTTCGCCATACTTCCAATGGACTTGTTCTGACACAACATAAATACATTCAAGATTTATTTTCCAAAACCAATATGCTCACCTCTACACAGCTTCGGGATGATTTTTCCGTCAAGGATCTTGGCATTTTGAGTTATTTTCTTGGGATTGAGGTCCGCCATACTTCCAATGGACTTGTTCTGACACAACATAAATACATTCAAGATTTATTGTCCATAACCAATATGCTCACCTCCAAAGGTGTGCCCACACCTATGCTTCATAGTGAGAAGTTGTTATTGGATGGAGGTGAAAAGCTCTCGCTTGGGGATACTACTCGCTATCAGAGTGTCGTTGGTGCTCTCCAATATTTGTCTCTAACATGTCCTGATATATCCTTCTGTGTCAATAGAGTGTGTCAGTTCATGTCCTCCCCGACTTTTATACATTGGGCGACAGTCAAACGAATTCTCCGTTATCTACATGACACTATTGATATGGGCTTGTGTCTTACAAAGTCCAGCACTGATTTGCTGAGTGCCTTTTCGGATGCTGATTGGGCCGAGAATCCTGATGATCGTCGAAGCACTGGAGGCTATGCGATCTTCTTTGGTGGCAGTCTTATCTCCTGAAAATCAAGGAAATAATCGACAGTTTCTCGTTCTAGTACGGAGGCCGAATATAAGGTGGTTGCTGATTTCACTGTTTAATTAATCTAGATCCAAGTCCTCTTGCTGGAGCTCGGGATCTCGCAAGCGCAAGCGCCTAGTCTGTGGTGTGACAACATTGGTGCCACCTATCAATCCGCCAATCCAATCTTTCATCAACGGACGAAGCATGTTGAGGTTGATTATCACTTCGTTCGTGAATGAGTATCGACTCGTCAACTTGATGTGCGACTCATATCTTCCAAAGATCAGCTCGCGATATCATGACAAAGCCACTGCCAATTCCTTCTTTTAGCAGTTTTAGACGCAATTTGAACTTAGTTGTGATGGTGTTAATATAACACATGCGGAAGCAATTTGGATCTTAGGCACTTTTAGAACATCAATTATTGTAAATCACTAGCATGTTCATAAGTATTAAAACTTAATGAGTTTAAGTACTAACCTTTTGTAGTTCAAACTCCTTTTGCCTCACGAACCGGTTTCGAACCACCACTAGTGTCTTCTCCACTATCCTCCGGCCTTAGAACGGGATTGTGGAATCCGGTGAGTGACTAAACTTGGGAGGGATTTTGTATATGTGAAAGAGAGTGTTTGTGAGAAGTTTTTCTCAAGGTTTTTCATCAAGATGAAGAATCCCCTCCAAGTATCATGATCACTCTATTTAAAGAGTCAAGTTTGCATGTTCATGCAAACTTGAGATCACCAAATTTTGACACTTAAAATTCCACTCAAGAGTTTGGGATTATGTGGCAAGCATGCATGTTTGAGTTAACCAAATTTTGACACTCAAAATTCCACTCAAACTTGTGGGGTTTATTTGGCAAACATGCAAGTTTGGTTAAACCAAATTTTGACACCTCAAAATTCCACTAACATGGATTTTTCCATTAGATGAAAGTCAACATTTTGACTTTCTTCATTTTAATTCAACAATTAATTTGAATAATGAATTTCAATTAAATGATTAATTAAACTATTTAATTAATATTTAATATTAATTCAAATGCCAATCCCAATCAATTCCGACACATAATTGATTAAGATATTTAAATTTTATTTAAATATCTCACATTCTCTCTTTTCGTTTAATTCGTAAATAAAACAAAATTGCGATTAAATATATCGTATATATGTAACGCATATTCCCTAATTTGAATTCGAACACTTCGAACTCACTCGTCACATTGTTCTATGGTTTAGTCCGATATGAGCTAGCAGAGGGACCTAATGGACCTATAGATCATGGGCTCCAACGATCCAAGATTAACCGATTAAACTCATTAACCTGGTTAACCAACATTCGTTAACTACTAGGACACTCCACTATAGCCTAGTAGTTGCACTCCCCTCACTATAGATATATTTCTGTCCATCTGATATAACCATGATTAGTAAGTCGATCCTTCACAGGTTGTTCGTAACTAGAGCTGGGTCAATTTACCGTTTTACCCCTGAAGTTACTTCTTGTTCCTTATGTCTCACTGATCCTCTAATGAACAATTGGTTTGTGGTCCAACCAGTAAACCAAATCCCTCTCAGGCCAATGAGAGGGTGGGGCCCCTTGTTCAAGACCTGGAGTCAGTGCTTAAGGGAACTACCTTTCTTCTATCCCTAAGTGGGTAGGAGTGAATTCCGTCTTGCACCCCACATCCCCAGCCATTCACCCAGTCTTACCCCTGAAATGGGAGGCCTGTTGAGTCGGCGAACTAGAGCCACTCTCACCCATGCAAATCTAAGGATAATTCCGAATAAACAGGAGTTCATGGTTAGCTCAGGATTAAAACCGAGTTACCTAGGTTATCGAATGAAAAGAAAATCAGTCTCAACAGTAAACGACTTTATAAAGTGAGAGTGGTTTTCTTCATGGTCCGATCTTATGCAATACTCATTGCATAGGACGCCCCCACTCACATGTCTCCACATGCACAATTTAGTGATCACATTGTTTATATCATATACAAAAGTGGGCCGCATCCATAGTGTCCCCAGAATAAGGTACTCAGCCTTATCCTTATATTATAGATCATTTTGACTATATACTTGAACTTGATCCACTCTTATGTCTCTACATATAGTTCAAGTAATCATACTATAGCCAGAGTGTTCTTAGTTTATTGGATTTAGATTAATGATCGTAAAGTTCACTTTATTCAATAACAATTTTTACTGAATAAACATCAATAATAACTTTATTGAAAATAGAATATATCTTTGTTTACAAACTATGAGTTTTAGGACATAAAACCCAACAAACTCCCACTTGGACTAAAACTCTAGTTGGGTTTTATAACGTTGAGTAGAGAGAAATACA